CCTGTGATCCCCACGAGCTCATTCTCCTCCGTGCCTCAGCAGCGGCGGGTCCTGAACCGCGGGATGCAGATGGCTGCCCCTCTTTACTCGACAAACGAGACAAACGAGAACGGAGCTTTTTCATTGGAAAAAGCTCGCAATGCACGCAGATTGCCCCCTCGCGTGCGTGAGCGACCATCGCATCTCGACAAAACAAGATCTGTCCCACTATGTTCAGTGAAATTGTCTACATTGCAAGTGACCGAAAGCTTTTTTAAATGTTAATAGAGTAGGAAAGATGTAGTTTTTGTAGTTTTTTCAATGTCGATTCTGTGTTTAAAGCAGTGTTTATTTATGTTCCAATGATCGGCCAAATCTGTCACCGGTTCTTGTTCTGGAACCTCATAGTGTACAAACTAAGCACTGCCCTCAATCCTTCAGACTGTATGTCTTAAAAGCAAGTAAGATGGGCTCAGTAGATAATGTCAGTGTAGACTGTAAAACCTTGAGATCAGGTCAGTGTGTCAGCAACACGCAAGGCTAACTGAGTTCCCTGACTGCTTTCTTGCCTGTGTAGTGGGCGTTTGGTGCATGAAGCCGGCTAGAGTAGGCCAACATAATCATGAAGGTTGGAATCAGTGGTTGGATCAGACTCGTAAGGTCAAAGCCACCAAACTGGACTAATTAGCACATAATTACTCTGATTAAAAGGAGTGGCCAGGTAGACTTAAGGACCGAGCATCTGTCCATGGGCCTATATGAGTGCTCAACAAACCCCTCTCCTTCCTGTCTTTACAGAGCAATACAAGTTAAGCTCAGCTTCTCGTAAGCGGCATCTTTAGTGGGGGACAGTCAATGCGGTCACAGAGTTCGCATTTCAAGAAATCATTTATTTAATTGTTATTGTCTTGTTTTTCAGTAAAAATATCTAAACATCCTTTCAACAATATGCATTTATTTTAATCACATTGCATAAAATATTAAGACTTGCTTACTGAGAATATACACTGAAAACTTGCCTTAGGGCAAGTTATTTATTTTTCATTGGCTCAAGTTAAAAAATATAGATGTGAATCATTACCCTAATTTTTTTTAATTGGATGAATGAAACATTTTTTTCAGTGTATCTATATCTAATAGGCAATTTGTTTGTTTTTTCTTGTCTTGTTTTAAACAGAAATCCTAAAAAAATTTAGTGATGCTTACGCTGAAAACAAGAAAAAAATAAAAAGTAAAATAAAATCTGAAAAAATAAAATTCAAGACTTATTCTTTAAAAAAAGTCTTAATATTTACCAACTTTTACATCTCAAGCAAATTAGACAAAAATATTGATCGCTGTGTTGTTGTTGTACATAAATTATGTCAAAAAACATTTTCATCAAAAAACCTCCACATGGTTCATATTTGCAAGTCATAATTCTGATTGGACACTCAAAATTGTATAATTCTCACTTCAACTTCCAAAATGTCTTCCATATAGCTATAGATAACAGAGTTAGTAACACAACTAGAAGTAGTATACTAGTTCCATTACTAATTATGATTTGCTCTTTCCGAAAAATTACAGAAATCAATAAAAAAAAGAATAAACAAATAAAAAAATATATATAAAAGCTTTGACATCAATTAAGCTTCCAAAATTTTAAATGATCAGAACTTCAAAGAGCCTTAGCCTTCCATATAGCTAAAGATGGCACTGGTTAAACCAATTGGATTAACTGGATTCAATAATTTCCTTTTTTTTTTTTTTTTTACA